TGTCAAATCCTCCTATTTTGAAGAAGTTTTTTAAGCATTCGTTTGAAATGGATTTCAATATCATTTTTATTAAATGAGCAACATTTTGAAGCATGATATTATTTTCTGGCTTGTCCAACCTGGTGTTCTGATCCTAAAATTAAGAGTGAATATATCCTATGAATGTTTGAAGATCTTGGGCTTGGTATAGAATTCGTTGTCTGAATAGCCCAATTACTACGATCCAATCTTTTAATATACCACTACATCTTGCTAGGTATTTTTTTATGACAATTTCAAGGGTTGCTCAAACATTTATGCATTGCATCAAGCGTACATATCATCAGAGCGTTCTTTATGTTGGCTTGGGAGAATGTCAACGATTGTAAATATTTTCTTTTTATCTGAGATGGGAAGTACTCTCTCATCAAAAAACATTTCTTCATCCTAGTTTTGGGGATTTTGTTATTGCTGGTTTGGAATTGGAAATTGTGGATTTGGATATACAAATTGAGGATTTGGTTGTTGTCTGTCCATTAGGAAAATTTTGCTTGTAGGTGATTCTGTTATAAAATTTCTATGGATTCTCTTGAAGAGGTATCTAGAGATACTTCCACGTCTGATTCATCATAGATGGGTTGATCAACAATTTTTATTTCGAGTTGTTTTCTTGGGTGACTTGGCTTTTTAGAAAGACTGAAATGGGATTTTCATATTCTATTATGTTGACTGCAGATTTATTTGGGTTACTGAATGATGGGGGTTCTTCTTTTATTTCTTATTTTTGTTGGCTCTCACTTTTTTGTGTTTTAGGTCGGGTTCTTAGCCTTATAGGTGGTGATAACGTTTTGTAAAATAAAGGATCAAAAGGAGTATATGATGATGAGGGTTTTAAAAGTTTTAAGGGTTGCATATAATTGGTTTTAGGACTATTTAGTGTTAGCAATACAAGTGTGAGACTATTAAAGAAGGTTTTATAGCTGCCTAATTCTTCTGGTTTTGGCAGAGGGATAAGACCTTTTTCTATTGTTCTTAGTTGAGCTTCTTAGTTTTTTTTTTTTTTTCTTTCAGCATTAGTAGTTTGTTTGCTCTCTAGAGATCTTCATGGTATTTAGCAGGTGATATTTCAAGTAATTATTCATGAAATTTTGGATTCTTGTTTTTAATTTGAGGACAATTTTTTGTACTAAATCTATCTTTGTTGTTTGTGAATTTTGACTCTTAAGGATTTGTACTAATGCTTGGTTTTGGACAAAATTTAAAGTTGCTTCAGCTGCTAAAGGTTATTGTTGGCCTTGGGCATTGACATTGGGATTGTTCTTGATTTTCCAAGTATGGTTCTACACTCCCACTAGGTTTTCAAGTTAATGGAGGGAATTGCTCAACATAGTTTGAAGAAGAGGGGTCAAACATATAACATTCTACAGGTTTCTGAGTTTCTAATTTTTGTTGGGGTTGCATAATATATATATATATATATATATCTTTTGATAGTATGATATTAAAGGTGGGGTAGGTGGTGATAACGGTCTTGGTGGCTCGTAGGGTGGGAGGTATTTTTTTAAAGTGGGATTTGGTTGAACTAGAATGGGGTTTCCATATTCTACAAAAAAACACATAACTTCTTGTTGGTTCACCAAGGGTTCCTACTGTGGGATCTCCATTTTCATATCTCTCTCAAAGTTTTTGTTCCCAAGATTTCTTTTTGATATTTTTATTTGGCAAATTATTCATATCTTAATCCATTAAGTCAAATTGATCTTGAATACAACCAGGGCATTCGCAAAAGGGGTCAAAATTTTTGTGACCGTCTTTTGTTTTTTCTTCATAGATGGGCATTTCATTATTTTTCGAGGCTATGATCGGTAGTATCATCATTTGAGTTTGGAATAGGGGTTGTGCAGGGTTTATTGGAAGATTGGTTGGGAATGTGATTCTACAGTTCCATCTTACATAGGAACATAAATGGGGTTTGTTGCTTGAATAGGTTTTTCAGCTGGTTATCTCAATTTTTCATAACAAGTGATCCACTTGTTAGGGAGAAGTTGTATCAGCTCCTCTCTAGGAATTTGTTTTGGAACATAAGTGTGACAGGGTGCTCCTGTTTCACTAACATTGATAAATACAGCTTTGTCTGGATTAAGCTCCTTTCAGATAGGTAGTTAATTATAAGGCATGATTTTGGACCCTATTGGCCATCTGGTAGTAAAGGGTCACAATATGTGAGTCTGAGACCATAGGGGTTCTAGCCATCTATATCGGGACTCTTAAGGCTTTTAGCATATTTGAATATGTAAGGGTCATTGTGAAGTTTGAGAAAAGGGTTAAAAAAATTGTTCCACAATTTAAGGTGATTGAAATAGTGGCAATGCAAGCATGCTCATATTTCAAAAACCTTGTGTCTTCTAGTAATGCTATTTTGGATGAGATTAGGAAGCCATCTCTTCCATGAAATGTTAATACAAGTCTTACTGCTCCAAAATGGATATAGGCATAATTTTCCTTTTAAACGCTTGGGATATGTTCTAGTAAGGCTAAGGTAATAGATTTTGCGGTTTTTTTCTTTGGAATAATTTATGTAGTGTCTTAGTGACTGATGGTGACGATTCTCTAAAAATATGATAGGGATTTAAAGGGAGTAGCTCTTGTAGGGCATTGGTTGAGGCTTCAGGGATATAATCTATTTGGTATAAACTTTCTAATTCAAAGACTGGGCTAGTTCTTAGATAATCGGCATATAGGATTTAGACTTACTTGGCTCTGATACCAAGGAAGCCACTAGTTGATTCGACAGCCTTTCGTCGCCACCTCCATTACGAGGTATCAACGGTGGCACAGAAAAGGTATCAGACCAACGTCTGAATACCCGGAGGATTCTAAAGATGCCATGTTAAGGGACGAACCCACGGCACCATGCACCTTAGAAGAGCCTCCTAAAGAACGATAAAATAAGAATGATATGAAAAAAAAACGGAAGAAAGACAAAAGAAAAGAAGAGAAGAATGAAGAAAGAAGAAGATGAAGAAGAATGGGTTGAGAGAGAAAGAGAAGGTTGTTAAGAAGAGGAAAGGAGAGAAGAAGAAGTAGAAGAAAGAAAAGAAGTAGAAGAGGAAGAAGGAGAAGGAGCCACCCATTAATTCAGCAGCCTTTCGTTGCTACCTCCCCTAGGAGGCATCAACGGTAGAACAGAAAAAGTATCAAACCAAAGTCTAAATACCCCGGAGGATTCTTAAAATGCTATGTTAGGAGACGAACCCACTGCACCATGCACCTCATAAGAGCGGTAGAGTGAGAACGATATGAAGAAGAACGGAAGAAAGAGAATAGAAAGAAGAGAAGAAAAAGAAAGGGTCAAGAGAGAAGAAGTGGAAATGAGAGGAGTAGTGGAAGAAAGAAAAGAAGAACAAGAAGAGAAGGAAGGAGAAGGAGCCACCAGTTAATTCGGCAGCCTTTTGGTCACCTTCCCTAGGAGGCATCAACGGTAGCATGGAAAAAGTACTCTTTCTCATTTATCAAAAAGATCATTAAAAGGGATTACCAGAAGGGATTAGTATAGTGCTACTTCAAATCCATGAAGAAAAATGAAACAAAATAGTAGAGGAGTCTCCCCTGTAGTTAAAGGAGGGTGAGTGACGTCCATAAACAGATGTCTTTAGGGTTGCACTTGAGTGAGCATATATACTTGAAAACAGAATACAATGGTACAAACTTTGGGACAAGAATATTCTAGATAATGGCTAATGTTATTGGCAATGAATCATTAGTAGGATATGCCAAAATGAAGAAATAGACATGTCATATGAAATTAATCATGGAAAATGAATTTCCGACAACATTTTCTCTCTAGGTTCATATTACCTATCAAGCTCATATTCTTTCTGAAGTTCGTATTATCTATCAAGTTTTGGACCATTATAGGCATGTCCCATGCTATTAAGAAGTCAAAAAGTTCAACTAGCATAATATATAAAGACAACCACCATTGTTCGTTCTTCTATTCCATTCAATAAATTCCAGACACAAATGACGTACTGTACGAACGCCTGAACTGGAAATGTTTTGTTATCCCCCCAGGTCCACAAGATCAAGCTGTCTATTTTTAATAAGCTCCTCATCCACTCACGCATCTTTTACATTGACAGTTCTAGAAAACATGGAATGGGAACAGTTGCATTAAAAATCAAGCATATCTAATCATGCATCTTTTCTTAAAGGGATTGAAAACCAGAAGTCAACATACAGCAATATATTCCTTGTATTTATAATGCTTTGTATTTATAATGAAATATGTTACTATGAATACTATATCACTGCTTGCTGTGCTTGATTAGTAACATTTCGGCAGTATGACTTTTTACTAACCCTCTTCCTAAAGGTTATAGATCTCATTGGCACCATCGACAAACTCTTCCTCCAAACCTCTCACTACAATGCTGCCTTGTCCATCCTCTATAAGAGAAATTGACTTCCTTGATTTATATTCAAGAGATCTAGGATACTCCTTGGGTGCTAATAAATCAGTTATTTCTCCAAGTAGGTTATTATCATACTGTAATGTGCCTTCTGTTCTTTAAAAGTGTCGAAAATCTGGTGAACTGCTCTTGGAATCACATTAGACTCAACAGGTAATTCACCTCGGTATAATGAAAGAAATAAACATATAGATAAAGATCCAAAACTCTTATAATGTGCATATGATTGGTAATGCAAGAAATTCTTTTAATTGTAAATCTGAGCTTTAGATTCCCCTTCCATGTTGTATGTTTTTCTTGTGCCAGTTTTCCAATATGCAAATATAGTGCAGTTAAAACCTTCAAGGCCTGCATTAATTATGGGTGTTATTGGCATGATCATATATTGCTTTTGAGATTTGTGGCCAAAAAACTGCAATTAATTTTGTAAAATGAGATCAATAAAACTCTGATTCTTAGGGTAACTGTGTGATCAGAAACCTAGAATTCTAGGAAAGACAAATTAAAAGTCATTTTAATAGAAAGAAGCCCCCATCTCTTGTAGTGTACCTTATAGAAGGTGAAGGAACTGTCGATTCTGTTAGTTTGCATAACAATCACCTCCCTTCTTTGCTCATTGCAAGAGAGAACTTTAAGTATGTTTGGTCTAAGATCATCATCACTTAAAGATCTACACAAGATCAATAAAAAGTAATTTTAGTATCCATAATCACGTTCTACAAGAGCCCAATTAAGAATATTTGAATTAAAGTTAAAATTCACACCATTATACGAAATAAACTTGAGGACTAATTTCTTAAAACCATAGACAAATCTAAACCGTAATAAAACAATCAGATCATTAATATTTATTTTACAAACAGGACCAACCGCAAGAAAAAAATGATAAAAGATTATGTAAAAACATCCTAGACCAACAGATTAAACTAGAGCACTTGAGTATTGGAGGAAGAGAGAGACAGATGACAGATCTAGAAATGGGAATCAACATGGAGAACTGGAATTCCTATACCCAGTATCATAAATGTGGACATGGTAATTGCACATACCTGCATCTTAACACAAACTGCACATTAAGCTATCTGTCTTTCTCATGCCTATTGATGTTGCAACCGGAAACAGCAGTCCCCACTGTTCTCTTATTATCTCTGAAGGAGGCGTAGACAAAGAGGAAACACAACCCCATCGAACCCTACTTTCTCTGCTAATGATGTTGGGGTGTATGATACACTATCAAAATTACCTGCAAAACCCAATAATAATTCACCTTCTAAGAAAACAGATTTAAAACAAGAAAACTCAACTGTTTACTACTTGGGTCAAGTACGCGTTCAAATATCAGCCACGCAACTCTGGAGCATCATCCCATGCTTCTGATTAAAAAAGAAAAAATAGAGAGAGAGCAGGGATGGTCTTGACGCATGGAAACAACAGGGTAAAGTAAGAGAGAGATCAATTCTCTGAAATGACAAACCGTGACATCCATTCAACAAAGAATTCACAGAGACATACCTTGAGGCCTTGATGTGGTGATCAGAGCTATAAGAAATGAAAATTGAGTGAGAGAGAGAGAGAGAGGCTTACTTTTTTAGTAGCAGGCTCTCTCTTGCTTAGAGAAGCAGGGGTGAACGCATAAATGAATTTCTAATTTTTGAAATGGGAGAAGAGGGGTTTTAACGGCCAGGATCTTGGGTGGGTCTTCTCGACCGTTGGTCTCCTTGAGGGATTGAAATTGTTGGCTTTAATTGATGGGAAAAGTTTGATTGATTGGCTTGTTATTAGAAACAGTGAAATGGTTTTCGTCTCTTTTTGGAAAAAGTTTATACAAGGTTGCAACCTTAAAATGTAGAATTATATATGCATTTCAAAAATCCATCGAAGAATGTTGTTTTAATGTTGAAGAACCCTCTAATTGATCATCTCGACATCGAAATATATAAATATGAAAAAAAAAAAAATTTTGAGCCCCAAAAATAGAGCATCTTGCAACACATTATCTAGACCGTTCATTTTTAAGATTTTTATATATTTATAGATCTACTTGATTTTGATCATTTTTAAGTTTAAAATTTTATAATTAGATATAAAAATAGATTTTGAGATAATCTTAATAATTTTTTACAACAAAATTACGTATTACAAAAACATTTGGAGGTGCACCTTAATTGGATTGTTTAAGGTTGCAACCTTACAGCAACCGTACCCTTATTTTTTACTTTCTTGTTTTTTAGTTAATCCAAGAGTGATGGATTTGAACTGTGATGAATTGGGAGAAAATATGTTACCAAATAAAAATGCACGGCCTACCCTCACATCATCACCGTCCATGCTATGGATGGGACGATGATAACCCCATTAATATACTGACTCGGAGTTTGCTGAGATAGCTCAGAGCGTAGAGTGTAGGAAAGCACAACTCGGCTCCCGAACCTGGCCTTGGGCCAGGCGGAGTAACTCAATCAAGTTAGCCTGAGTTGGGCAGGTCGTGGGCAAGCCAAAAAGTGTTAAAAAAAAAAATCAATTAGTCAAAAAATATAAAAAATATGCTTAAAATATAATTAAGGGAAATTTAGGGTGAGGTTTGTATAAGGTTGCCTCCTTATACATTAGAAGTCAGGTGCGCCTATAAGATTTATTTAGAGATGTCGTTTCATCATCAAAAATCTTATGATAGCTTCAAAATCTCTTTTTATCTTCAGTTAGAAAATTTAAATTTTAAAAAAACGGTAGATGATCAATAAACACTTGAAAATCTTGAAATCAGACGGTCCATATGACTTTTTACAAGATGTATTATTTTTTGAACTTGGAATTCTTGTTTTTCTTCATGTCCATTCATCTCAAGATCGAGATGATCAGTTGGAGGGTTCTCTTATGTGAAAACACTCTCCACTGTAGGATTTTTGAGATGTACCTTTCCTCAACAGTATAAGGTTGCAACTTTATACAAACTTTTTTCGAAACAAAAACCCCCCAAAAGAGACTTTCTAGACAACCTACCCCCAATAAATTTTTTTTAGCAACTTTTACCTCAAATTGAACTTTCCTAGCAAATACCTCCAAGTAAAAAAAATATCTTCTTTTTTTTAAAAAAAAAAAAATGGCCATAGTGCCAGACTGCCCCCATTTTGTGTCAGACTGAATGCTGAAAGTGCTAGACCACATACTTTCCAGAAGCCCTAAATGTCAGACCGCCCCCATTTTGTATTGGTCCGCATGCCCAAAGTGTCGGACCACCCCTTCTTTATGCCGGCCAAAGGGTATTTTGAACTTCATTTTACCATTTTTAGGACTTGGGGTTATTTGCTAAGAAATTTAAATTTGGGGTAAAAATTGCTAAAAAAAAAACTTGATTGGAGAAAGTTGATATGATTTTGGGGGGCTTTTATAATTTTCCTTATAATTAAACAAAACATATTTAAATGAGGTTAAAAAAGTAGTAAAAATAAATAGATTTTAAAAAAAAATCAATTTGTGATGATGGGCTGTTAAAAAGGAAGGACAATGTAAAAATAAGTATTTATGATCAAAATACTTCCCAATCTATCCAAAATAATAGGAAATATATAAAAAATATATATTTTACATATAAATTCCTTATTTTTTAGATTTTTTATAACTTTTTTTTAAAATCTTCTTAAGTCCCTGAGCTTGACCACCATACTCGGAGTACTTGGGCTCGCCAGGGTGGCGCAGCCGAGTTGCTTGAGCGAGTCCGGGTTCGCTTGCCCGAATAGTTGAACGCTGGTTTCGTAAGTCTTCGAAACGGGGACAAGCCCCGAGCTACCTTAAAGTAGTGGATTTATGTTACACGTTGAAATGTAATGAGATAATTTTTAAAGAATAAAAATGATCAATACGATGAAACTCAAAATATCCGTTATGACGAAGTATTAGAATTTTCACATGCCAAGAAATATTGAATATTTGCATACAAATATAAGTAATATTAGAATAAAAATTAAAATTAGTCATATATGTAATTAAAATATTAGAAATTTAATTTTTTTTTTCACTGTAAAGACAATATAATGTATTTTAATGATTTGAAAATTTGTAATAAAAGTTTATGGTATTTAACCCATAAAGGAAAGAGCCGATATAGGTTGCAGCCTTAAATTGTAGAAATAAGGAAAAAATCTATAATTGATCATCTCGACATCAAGATGTACAAAAAAAAAAAAAGGATTTTGATTCCTATAAAGATCGGATCTTGCAACAATTTATTTAGATTGTCCATTTTCTAGATTTTTATTTGTTTTTAGATCTACTTGATTTGAACTATTTTTAGGTTTAGAATTTTATAATTAGAGATGAAAATAGATTCTTAGGTCATCTTAATAATTTTTTACACCAAAATACATATTGCGGTAATATTTGTGATGGTTTTCTGTGGCCATTAAAAGCCTTATGATAGGATGTGATTAATATCTGATATAGTGGAACATAAATACAGTGGTTGTGTGGTCCTTTGTGGACCAGATTTGACTTGACGTACTACGCGAGAACTAAACTAATGAGGGTTTTATGGGTTATCTTTTAATAAGGTTGGAGTTGTCCGGATGAGTAAGTCGAAGGACATTGTGATGGTTGCCCTTTAGAAAAGAGGGTCAAAGCCTCATCATCGAATCATCACACGCATGTACATATGATAGTCGTGTCGGGAAAGTGAACTACCTTTCAAGGTGAAGCGTGTACATGTGCGAGAGATTACCCTTATGCAGTAAAAGGTCTAGGTGACATTGGTTCGTCTCTAGAGGAGAACCTGTAATCCATAAACTAAGATTGTGTCCTCTTATCTATTGGCTCACTTTGGTGGCTCAATTATGAATCCCTGTAGTAGTTTGTAGGTCATAAGAACCACTGGGTCAGTTTGAGAAAGCAAGTGTGGATTACAGTCTACAGTAGAAGGTGGAGTACTCCAGCAAATTCATAATTCTTATATCTTGTCAGATTCCCAACAAAATTATTAAGATTTAATTATTTTGATGTTATATGATTTTTAGATTAATTATTTGAAGGTGACATGAACTGTCTGCTTCACTATCCATGCTAGTGTTCATTCACTTTCCTTAATTGGATTGTAGAATTGGGAGAATCAGAACATAACATGGTTTTAGTTTCCCTTGTTCTAGTGGGAGGCATGATCATTAGATTGTTTGTGGTATAAGACCAATGGGCTAGAAATACATTTTTTTAAAAAAAATTCATTGTATAAAAACTCAAGGGTTTAAATGCATGATTATCTCAATGCAGAACCATAATACATATATTCCAACCTACAAACATGGTTTATACACATTTGAATAATAAAATTCAACCATAATAGGTCCATTATAAATCCCTTACTCAAAAATTCAATTAAACTAAATACAATATTTAAATATTCACATTATACATCTCTATATTATATTGCATGACTTGCACTGCCAATTCCTCATTATATCAAAATTATATGATAATTTCATCTTCATTATTCATCGTCATCGTATATCATAATATCTCATACACATCATATATTTGATCATAATAATTCAATAAGATTTCAATTCGCATAAACAATAATGTATAGCATTAAAGCTCATACTGAAAGATTAAAAAACAATCTCAATATTCACACAACATACTCAATTTAACCAATCATGAATCCATTTAATAACTGTAAATACATCAAATTAACATGCAAACATACATGGAGAAACCATGGTTCGAATCCCTTGCGCCCGGGTCACGAAATGGCCTTTTGAGAACTTAATTTTGTCTCGTTGTAAAAGGCACGAGTGATAATAATAACTCAAGGAGATTAATCCAATGGGAATCAAATGATCATATTTATTTCACTTAATGGGAATCAAATCATGAGAGAGATATGGATCAAAATAGCCCTTCAAAGTTTGATAGAGATACTACACAAAATAATGAAGTTATGGTGAAACTAACACTATTTGGTCCATAAGGAACCACACGAACTTTTCAACATTAAAAAGGGAACTCAATGGACTATTTCTTATGCTCAAATATGAAGAAATAAACCTCTCATCAATTGTATATTCTCAGTAAAAATTCCAGAAAAATAAGATCAAGAAATCAAGTTGAAACTACCCAAGATCATGGAGTAAAAAAACTAGTCTACACATACTATGTGTATGGACTATATTATTACTTTGAGACTTTTCAAATATCAAGTTTTCATGACAAAAAATGAAGAAAGCTACGATAAATTAAGAATTATAGCAAGCTTTGATAATGAAAATGAGGTAGGAATTAAAAAAATATGAGAAGAAAAAGCAATACATTAATGAAGCAATAGTAAGAGCTTGATCATATAAATGATGGACTACTCCATGGAAGGGTTTCAAATAAAAGCTCAATGTAGCCTCATGGGTGACCACATTTATGTTAAGGGCTCTCTCTCTCTCTC